TGATAACAATAATTATGATGACAATAATATTAACGACAACAACAATAATAATAATGAAAAAAATAATAACAATAATAATGATAATCTTAATGGTGATGATGATGATAATGATAATGATAATGATGATGATGATGATTAGTGTTACTAATAATAATGATTATAACAACAATGATAACGATGATAACAGTAGTACTAATAGCAATGACAATGATAATAATTAGTACAAGAATTTAACCATTATCTTCCTACAACCCCAAGATCTAGGTCACAAACACTATTCGCTCCGGATGTCTATGTCAGTTTTAAATCCTGTTTTTACCGACGCTCTGAGCACTTAGAAGCGCATCTCTCAAAAGTGCCTCGGATTGCAGACCGATTTATAAGCAGAAATCTGAACGAAAATCTTCTCATATCCTCTGTGTATTATATGCATCTGCAGAACACATTGATTAGTGTGGAATTCATGTTGAACAGATTGCAACAGGAACAACGAAGTGTGTTTTCTTGCCCTTCCATTCGTTGTTCCTGTTACTTTGATTAGTTCATAAGTTTGTTATCCTTTCTGGGAGAGAAAAGCTAATAATACCTTATATCAACTTTCATCTCTCAGAACGGTAATAATAATGCTTCGTGGGTTTCAAGGCTGGTATTAAGGTTATTTGTAACAAGAACACGTACCGATAAAAGGTTCAAAAGGTATGGAACCCGCGAGGATCTGGCTCTACTGGGACGACCAAATCCCTGGCAGATGGATTAGGCTGATGGATGGAAAGGAGACAGAGCTGCAACGACCAAATCAACTTCAATGATAAATAGCAACGGGTGAAGATGGCCCCAACGTGTAACCTCAAGACGCAAGCACCATTACTGCAGTTAGAACAGGCTAAAGAGGTCTTTGCGGGGAATTACCGATTGACCCTTATTAGAACCTTGGCCAAAGATTATATACTATAATCTTTGCCTTGGCTTCTGGACTTCACGTCTTCGATACTTTCTTTTCTCTGACTTATACAAAGGGTTCGCGCTTAGTCTCTTGGGATTTATTTTTTCTTTGTCTATTAAATGTAGTTGTGAGATGAACAAAAAAAAAAAAATGGATAGATAAATAATGAAGATAATTGAATACACACTGGCGGGATTTCCTGTTCCATCTTCGCTTACAGTACCGGGATGACCTCGCTTTTCTGTGACTAATCGGTACTTTTTTGGAAACATACTTCCTCAGAATTCGAATATCGCTGACATATTTCCCAGTGAATACGAAGACGCCATGTGAATATTCCCACGTGTTCAGAGGGTCAAGTGCACAACCCGCAGCTTCAGCCCAAGATCCTGTTTTCGGACCAAGCCCAGGGCCCTGTTTTCATGACACTCCTTCGCGCTTCCGCTCACTTCAAAACGTTTTAAAAGAATTTATTAATGCATATCTAACACATTTCCTTGCCGAATTTAGACTTCAAATCTTCACTGTCCACAAACATAATAGAAGCTCGACAAAGAACAAATAAAGGTGACTAACTACTGTTCGACCCAAAGCAGGAGAGAGGACCATCGCAGAAACCATTCATCTCAAAAGTTTTGTCCACTTTTCAGGCGTATCCCTCGACCCTAGCACGGTGACAAATATGTACAAATATCATCCTTATCATGAGAACCCGGGCTGATGAGATCCTTATAGAGGAGCATATTATCCACTGATTCATGGGCAGTCAAGGACCAGAAATAGTACAAAACCCACCCATTTACCTACGTGCTTTCCATAATACAGAGGAACTTTGGTCGATACCACGTTCGCATTCATGGAAATTGGCTCGTTGACATACGGGCGAGAGCGGAAGGGAGCAACTTGACGGAAACGATAACAAAACTGGGCCATGATCTCCTGAGGCGTAGAGACACACCCACAGAGTACCCCGGTGTCCTGAAGCCCCGTAGAAAGGCAGCAAGAACCAAGGTCTAACAAGGTCTCGTCACATTGGTTGCGAAATGAGTCCACTTTGTGTATTTTATGAGTTCTGACAGACCCGACCAGCAGATGTGATCCAACTGCGGTCGCGTCGCCATTTCTCCCACCTTCCGATCCTCCAACTCGTAAAGGAAGCACGCGGAGAGGTTTATTTTTTCTTTGTCCATAACATGTTGTGAGATGAAAAAATGATATAAGTGAAAGAAGACAGATGGATAGATAAATAATAAAGATAAATGAATACACGCATATTAAAATTCAACCATTTTCATCTAAGAAATCAATCAAGCAGGCAAAGCGGTTGTCTTTATATCCACAAACAGGGTTGGGGGAGTTTTGAGAAGAGTGGTCATAGGAAGCATTGATGTGAGAATTACAGAACGCCAGATGAGCTGCCAGATTTCCATGGCGTTAATTACCGCCATTTTCCCTGGATTAATATTTAGTGATACTTGTCTAGACCAGTGAATCTTTCCATTTTCGTTTTTTCGGTCAAGAAAAATAGGAAATAAGAAATCCGTGCCAACTTCTGAATCTCGAAATATATGTCGGAAAAAGACGGCCAACTTTTTTCTCTAAATGTACGAAGATAATAAAACATAAAAAATATAATTTTTTTTTTTTCATTAGTTCGAACTAGTATTTAGAGTAGGCTTCGAAACGGCTTATTCGCACAGGGATCTGACGGGCACTTCTTGCTTCTGCCCCGTTTCCTATTATTTTATGAAAGTGGCACAGTATTCAAACAGAATCTTTGTTTTATATTTCCTTGCTTTCTTTTCTTCTTCTTTTCTCGAGACCGAAATAAATGTTTCCATGAATTACCGCAGCTGAGGAAACGTGACGTCAGTGTTTGCCGTCTCCGTTACAAAATTTTGGCGGTGCTCCTTATAGCAGACGAACTTTGGTAATCTGATAACCCTGCGTGTGCTGTGTGGTGCAACGCTTAGCGTTCTCGTCTAGCAATCATTTACCGATAAATAGATAGATAATCAAATAAATATGTGGATACATGGTTACCGTCAGGGTTGGCCGTTTTTCCGTAGCAGCATTTTTGCCATTTTCTAAACATTTGATGACAAAGAAAATGGATTTAATAAAATTGGATCACACACTATCATAAACGGATGAATATTAGATTACAATTACAGTGCGTGGAGTCAGATTCTGATGATTATAGGATTCCTTGTGTTACTTTCTTGATCACTGCATAGCATAAAACAATATACAATAGATACATTATTTAGCCAATAATGTGACATTTAATAACATAATGCGCCCATACCTCTTTATAGAAAATGTATTAGATGTTTAAGAAAATGTGACAATTAGCCTGTAAACTTTTTTTTTTTTTCTTTTAGTATGCGACTATGCATAGTGTGTTGCAGGGCTGAAGGTGTATAGTCAATCTATAGGAATATGGATCTACCTTGGGTGATGCCCAGCTGGAAGACCCAGTTGAAGTGACATCGGTGAAATTTCCGCCGTGATGACGTTCGGTCTGCCACATCAAATCAGTTCATACCAGGGTGCCTTCAGCAATTTTTATGTTTAATTTATTTGACCATGGAAAAATATTTTAGTTTTGCTTTAAATATTTTTATTTGCTTCATACGGTACCATCTGTAGACATAAAGAGTAGTAAAAATACAGTCTACGGAATAAAAATCCGTAGTAATGTCACCATCCTTCGGTCGTCTTTTGTTTCCATTGAGCAGATGAATATCCGTAGAATTCCAGTTCTGTCCTCCACGTACTCACGGCAGGAAAGAGCGCCCGATGCCGAGCCTGTGGGATGCTCTCTCCTGATGTACATACGTAGTGGATTCTATTTGTTGTCAAGGGTGGAGGGTGTGGGGCAAAACCTCTTAGGGGGGGGGGGTTGCGGGGGGAACAGCCCCCTTCATTTGACTATAGTTTTATAGTATCCCAAAACCTCTAAAACTTTGATACATTGTGTTATGCATATAGTCGCTATAAAACATGATGTCATCAGAGTTTTGCAGACATACAAAAAAATTGAAAAGAAGTTTGATATTCATCTTTTCACATCAAAAAGTCGATGGAAAACCATGAAAGCGATCTCCAGCCGATTCCAGACTTTGGTAGGGGAGGTTACGTTAGCTGATGAGCATGTAATGATTTTGAGACTGAAGCATACTCATAGTTTCAGGTCTTTATTACTTTACATGCTACTACCAATGTTTGCAAACTCGACGTGAAAAAGTGTTTTACGCCAAACTCGCATCTGTGGTAGACAATTATCCCTGATGAGACATTCACATTGTCCTGTGTAACTTCAATGCGGTATCCAGTTGTGATCAAGCTGGCTGCGAGATGTCTGTCAGTCCCTAAGGCTCGGGAGCTGATTTCAGCAGTGAGAATTGCTTTTGGGACCTCGCTAGGTTGATTGAGGATTTCTGGCTCCTAGTACAGCACTCCAACCTGCATCACTGGACATGGTATTCAGGGGCGGCGCTAGAAGACTTTTTATTTTTTTATTTATTTATTTTTTTTTTTTTTGGGGGGGGGGGGGGGTGTCGGGAGCAAGGTTACCGAGTAACATTTTAAAAATCAAATCCACACTTCTTACTTTTTAATATCTTGTTTCGAAATGGATCAAATTGAAATGAAAATGAAAACTTCGAGAGTTACAAACCATGATCATTGATTTCTTAAATTATGCCGACCACCAAGTTTGCCGAGTAAACTGTATTTTTTTTCCATTCTGCCGAGTGAAATGACGATTTGTGACCTTTGGGGGGGGGAGTGTCGCACCCCCCCACACACCCCGTGGCATTGCGCCTGATGGTATTGTGATACATGTACCGTGGCCAAGAAGATCGACTACATCTTTGTTATCACAAATCGCTAACCATCGGGTTTACTTCACCCCCCCCCCTTGTCTCTCTAGTGTCCACCTCTGGGTGTTTCACTTTGACAGAATGATGGAGGAATATGCCCAAAGATTTGTCGCGGTTATCTCCGACCAATTAGCAGCACTCGATAACCTGGTGCACCCTGTAAGTCCGTGGGACTACTTGAAGCGCAAAACTCTTGGTGCAACTCAGGGGCTCATTGACGTCATGCTAAGGTAAGGCCACAAATGCATGATGCACAAGACTCAGACACTAAAAAGACCATGACTTTTGTCCTACCTATCACTCCCCGAAAAAGCTGAACTCACCAGTCTTCTGTCAGAAGACTGGTGAGCAAAAAAGTTCACAAACTTCTGAAAGAGCTCAGCAGTTGCCAATTAGAATGTTCATGGAGTAGTGCTACCTGTCTTGCAAGTACCATAGACTACGCCACCATCCTAGAGAAACGAATCAGTGCATTCTGAAATCTCCGCTGGTGAGTGAGGACTTGACTCTATTCTGTCTTTGGGTTTATATCTTCACTTATTGTTGAATCTATATATATATATATATATATGTATATATATATATATTATATATATATATATATATATATATATATATATATATATATATATATATATATATATATATATATATATATATATATATATATACATATAGTAGGCCTACATGTATTTTTGTTTGCTGTGAGGGATGTCCTTTTTGCTTTAGAAATTAGCTAATATCCCACAAATTGAAGATATTTGGGGATGCTTATAAACCATTGGAAGTCCACTATCAGTCAAAACGTCCATCGTCTCCTGCATAAACATCTGTATGGAGCTCAAGTCCATCTGTTGAAAAGTACGTTGATTGTTATTTACGAAATCTGATTTTTTTTTCTCTCTCTTGGTATTAGTTATGTGCAATAAAGTACCACTCATACGGCTCTGGAATTTTTTGTTGGTTTGCATTTATCTTGTATTATTTATGATTTAATAAATATGAATAAGTGTTCTCAGTGTTTTGACATCAGTCCAATTAAATGCCAAGTCACAAAGTAATGTCTTAAATCTGGCTTTTGTAAACCTCAAGTGAAATGAAGTGACTTATCTTTATCAACGCAGTTGCTATTCTTAAAACAGATAAACAATATTGCACCTCAGTTTATTTACATACTGTAGTATTTATATATTTGTAAGTATAAATAATACGTGAAGGGAAAATGCTGTGTTATTCTTACCTTAAATTTCAAAATTTATTCATCTACACTACTGTCTGCGTTAATTTTTCTTAAAAGAATTCTTGCCATACCGCATTTTTTTATTTTTAATCTATCTATAGATATGAATATTGCTGAATCTGCTGAGACATGTCCTATTTTCCTTCACTGTTTTTCTGCAGAGGCATCTTTCTATCTCCCCACATATTTTTATCTTCACCCCCTACTTTATCACCACCTTGTTATTCTTCCTTGTAGCTTCTCTTCCTTTAACTGCTTACCTTCCTCTCGGTCTCCCTCTTCCTCTCTCTTCTCCTTCTCCTCCCTCTCTAACCCCTTAAGTAGCCTGTGAGTGGTTCTCAAGACCAATTTTTTTCTAGAGGCTTTTGAAATGAATAACAAAAACATACACTACATGTGCATTTATCTGATTAACGGCTCATTCTAAAAATAAACGTAACGATACATTAATCTTCGTTCCTATTAATATGTTACATATATCTTCTACTTCAGGTTAGTTCACAGCTAGACTTATAAAATTTGCAAATGCCTTTTTTCCTTTTAAATAGTTGTCAAACCCTTACCCCTCATGGGGACCCTGAGGAGTGAATCATTTGTCTTCCCCACTTACACCTGGCTTGCCATAGCCAATGAAAAATTTATACCCTTATTATGGGCATTTAGGCTTGCCCCTGTATCGATGTTAACATTTCCGGTTTTCAGAACCCTGGCTCTCCTTTGATCACGACGCCGAACACTGCTGCTACTTCCCCCTTCTTGATATCAGCTGTCAGCTCAATCCATTCCATAGCACCTACTCAGGTCATAACCCAGTCTTCACAAAGCATTCCTTCCTCTCTCCCAACATCCTCCATTTCATCTTCTCATCATCCAGTCCTCTTTATTTTCATCCTCCTGCTCCCTTACTATTCTTCATCCTTTTTGCCCATCTCTCTGTAGTTTTACCTACCCAGCACACTCCTTCTTCCTCCCGTCATCACCCGCAATTACTACCATCTCTACAAACGTTTTCAGTATTCTTATGCCTTGCCACAGTTACATCCGAGTCCGAAGCTCATGAATTACCAATTCTGACTGATCTCACTCCTTACCAGAACTGTTTCTATCTCCCCAGCTGATTGTTCTGTCATGGATTGGCTAGACTATGAAAACTACCTACTTGCCGACCTCGCTGACCTTAATGCAGTATCGGTTAAGTGCTACACTACTTATGCCAAAGGCCAATGAAAGTCACTGCCAAGCATACTTTCCGTATACATAACCTCCCCAATGAAGTTTATCTTGGTGGAGAATCCTGCCCTGTCAGACCATATCGATCTCTCCGGGATCTGGATTGTAAGATAGCGGGAGAGAGGAAGGGGTGTATAATGACCTGGATGGGGATTCGGAATGGATATTGTTGACAGCAAACCAATTGTGGTGGCTTTCATAACGCATTTTATAGGGACTTACAAGTTCGAGTCTGAGGGAGCAGTCCTCAGATTCAAACTTCACTGAGTAATTACCTGGGTGGGTGATTAGGAATGGATAGAGTTGACAGCAAACATCGATGAGGGGGTAGTAGTAGCAGTGGATGAATTCATGATCAAAGGAAGGGCAGGGGTCGGGAAAAAAGAGAACTCAAATTTAAATAAGCTAGTTCATAAAGGGTAAGCCTTAATGCCCCTAATAGGGGTACAAAATCTTCATTATTGGCCATGGTGAGCTTGAAAAATATGGGGCTGAGGGGAAGAGAAACGATCTACCCCTTAGGGTCCCCATAAGGGGTCAGGGCTATGAGACTAACGAACGGTTCCAGGAGGCCGTTCAGGACTGACACAAAGCCAGTCCTTCAACCTTTCAGCATGTCTCTCACACATTAGGAAGGGGAAAGAAGGGATTGAAGACAAGAGGGAAAAGAAAAGACCATGCAGAATTAGTTGAGGCAAGGGCTGAGGTTCACAGTTGGGGGTGATGCCCTACATTAGTCCTGTCTCCGTCTCCTATGCCTCCCCTCCACCACCAACAATAACGCACATTGGTTGGAGGGAAACATTAGCAATATCTAGAAGCAATATTATTCCAATACTCCTTCCTGGTGCAAACATTATTTTTTCTTTCCACATCTTCAACCTTGGGCCTGTCTCATCGAGGATATTTTCCTTTTTTATATTGTAAATATAGTGTATTCAGCATAATCTATTAGTCCATGTTTTATCTACCTTTTTTAGTGGAATAATCTATTCAAAACAATATTGATTTGGAAATAATTTATTTGCTATATCTTGAAAACACGTTTATGTCAATTCAATATTAATTTATCCACCAAAATTTGTTAAATCACTATTCAATGACACTCCAATGCTCAACTTACTCCTGATACATACCAGAATACTTAATCTTTTGGTTCAAAATAGAGTATACATCATCTTGCTAAATACTGGATATTCCAAAACTCCATTTCCTTCAGTTATATGTATTTAATATTTCAGGGTTACACAAGTTAAAATGATCCACCAAGTATTTTTTTCCTTATGGAGAAACAATGTGAATGTAAATATCTTCTACATGGCAGCTTAAAGATCTCTCTTGCTCATTATTTGCTTCTTTTTTTAATTACTTCTTGGCAGCTGCAGCCTGAGCCGCTTTCTTGGCTTTCACCATCTCTACCAGTTCCTGGGGAAAAATGTACAGTGTAATGTTTAAAAATGAATGAATAAATAAATAAAGATGAATAGCATTCAGTTATGAGGTAATTTGAATGTACAAGATTAGATTACATAAAATGCTTTCCTAACTACATAGATTCAAACCTCAATTCTATAACATTTCCACAGAAGAGGATACTAACACATTTCATGTTTTTTTGACTTATGCCATAGTAATCTAATGCTGCTGGGAACATATAATGTCCACTGTAGTTTGATTTATAAATTATTTTCAAATAGATGGTGCTGGGCCACCAATGACCTCACTTAATTTACTCTTTCCTTGAGGTTTTGGATTTTTTCTACTAATGAATATTGATACTTATGATTATTATATATACAATACTACTACTAGTAATAATAATAAAAAAGAAAAAGTGCAAATAGGAGGGAGGTAGGATTAGTAATTGACTCCTTGATGACACAGTATGTATGTACATGCCATCCCCAGCAGTAGGAGGGGTAAAATCCTCTTGCACTGCAATACGATATTTCTCATCTCACTTCATACTTTGAGGCTGGATAGAAAAGGCACCAAATTCTATTGGGTTAAAACTGAGAAAAATACTCTTGAAGGCCTGCCAGCCACAGACATGTCACACACCCTGGCCTAGATCCAGTTTTTGAAGGAAAAAGCCACATTAAAGCTCATAATGAAGCATCCTCATGCTACATTTTGGCTCAGGTGGTGCTTGAGACCTCCCCTATCTACGCCCTTGACTTCCTGTCTGATACAGTATAGGGACCTTACCTTGTATCGCCTCATGCAGTCTTTCTTGGTGCGATTTGGCACACATTCAGCTATACGATCCCAACGGTCGGGTGTAGACACTGGATAGGTCTTCAAAGCCTGTTCTAGTAAACGCTGCTCCTCAGGACTCCAAGCCATAGTATTCATACCCAGCATTTCTTGTGGAGCTTGGGGGGGGGGGGGATATCATTTAGTAAGTTATATCATTAACTCAGTGTTTCCACAATCTCAATATATTTCTAATCACAAGTATGCTATATGCTATTTTTCATGGCAATACTGTGAATGGGTTGGGGACTGAGGCTGTATACCTGTATGTCACATTAACTTAAATTTATAAAGTACTTCCAGTATCCTTGCACTGGATAATTTCTTTCTGAAGACATGCATGACAAATGTGCATAGCTATCATTTCATCAGAGCAATACAGACTATATTACATGAGCAAGAACAGACTCAAGGTATAAAACATGAATATTCATCTCATGAAGAAAACCCTGATCTGACAATAATGATAAATCCCTCATATACTTACTATCGAACCTCTGAGAAGCAGTAGAATCACTAATTGATGGCTTTGCCTGTGATTTTTCAAGACTCTGGTATGCGTGTTTATTAGCGGCTTCTCGCATGTGTTGATCCGAGTGCAGTAATTCCTTCGCCTTTCCTAATACTTCCTTGGCATTCCTTGTCGTGATATTTGTTGATGTATGTTGATTGATGTATTCTGATACCACCTCCCACCTTGAAATTTAAAATTTTTTAAAAAATGACAGTAAGGTAATTTCATGTGTAAAAGCAGAAAACAAAAATTAATGCAAGTTGAATAAAAAATAAATAAAATAAAAAATAAAAAAAAAATAAAAAAATATAAAAATAAAATATAAAAAATCTATGCCATACATACATATATGAGAGAGGTAAATCTACTTACCTCTTAGTTGTGCCAGCGGGAAATAGGTTGACAGCCTTGATAAGAAGTTGTAGGTCATCCTGATTCCAAGGTTTATTAGCAGAACTATCACTGCCACCACCCCCACCCCCTTTTGCTGCTGCTGCCGCCACCTCCTCTCGCTCGCGTTTAATTTGTTTGCGGATTTCTTCTACCTGTGTTTGGGGATTGACAAATATGGAAATGAACACCTTCATTGCAACTGTTCTGTGTGAACATTTTTCCTTTTAAAATTTGAACAACATTCCAGAAATTCTTTGGCATGCATGTACACAAATCCACATCTGCATATACACAGACAAACAATAACACACCCATAAGTAAAAATAAACATACATGTAAATGGATCTTTTACAAGTAGACCAATAAAAAAATAGGTGAATCCACAAACCTCTTTCATCAGAACATCTCTTGCTGTAGAATGGTTTTTCCCTGCCCGAGTAAGTTCCTTGTTCAGGTCCTCAATTTTGTTCAGTTCCAGAGCCTCACATAACAGTTCGACATCTGTCATTATCTGTACCTTGTCATCTTCCTTGGTTGCATAGTAGTTATGATCCTTACAGAGTGTTCGTAGAGTCTGTAAAGAGAGATTTCTGTGTATATCTACCCGAGGTCAACAGTCTACCTGCATTCAGGTAGACTGTTTCCTACCTACTTAATAATTAATATCTCAAACTCCTATCCTTCCAAAAAAGTCAATAAAATGCCATATCTAATTCATCAGACATTTGTATTAATCCTCAATCGACAAGCAACAATTTCTTTCTCTTACCTTACGCTCTTTTTTAATGGCTTTCTTTAGTGTCTCTCTCTCCTTTTTCTCTATTTCCTGTTTAGCTCTCTGCTCTGCTTCTTCTGCCTCCCTCTTCTTCCTTTCGGCTTCTTCTGCTTCTTGTTTTATCTAAAGGAAAAACATCAAATATATATAAAACTGCAATTTAATCGGATGTACACTACAATCCGATCATATATGAAGAAACATATTGGCAAGAGTCTTTGTTTCTATGTATTGGTGTTTGTAACTGTGTTGTATTTTAAGTGTGTATATGGGTATCCGTGTGTGTGCATCTGTACATATTGACATTTGTGTATCTATGTATGTGTTGTTTATTGTCATGAACAACAACAATAACTAGAAACACTCAGAAAGGGCATACCTCCACCATGGCAATACAGCTACTGATGCAATAAAAGTATTCACACTTGAAGATTTACATTAAAATCACCTCTTTCTCAAGTACACTGATGGTGTCTGTGTTTCTGTATCTCACAATACTAATGCACCCTTTAAAAAAGTCCTGGATCCATATCATGATCCAGATCACCACCAAAATTTAATGGCATCTAAGTTAGGCTATGAAACATCTCTGGTAAAAATTGCATAAAAAATCTGTTCATAACTTTTTGAGTTATTCTGTGCAATATCTAGACCACCACCAGAATTTGATGGCATCTTGAGTTGGGCTAAGACACACCTACAGTAAAAAAAAATCATAAAAATTTCTTCTTAACTTTTTGAGTTATCTTTCTAACCAATGCTACCAAAAACATAACCTCCTTGGCAGAGGTAACAACAACAACAATAATGATAATAAAAAAAAAGTTAGAATTAAAAACCAACTTACTCTCTCTTCTTCTTCCTGCTTCTGTCTCAGTGCATCAGCTCGAGCTTTCTTCACAGCCAGCCTTCTCTCTCTCTCTTCCTCCTTGAATCTGCATAAAAATGAAAAGTCATATCAATTTTGAATGCATGTATACTCTTGCAATACTACAAGGTGCAGGAATGTAAGCATAAAATATGGAAATATAAAATGGGGGAAACAGGCAAGAAGAAAGAGTAAAGAAAGAAACTAACCAGAAAAAGCAACAAATAATCACAAAATAGAAACAAAGCTTTAATGCCATTACTACACAACCAAAAAAATTGTAATCTCATTAACATTAGCAACTATCAATAAAAACAAAGGTCTAAACAGTGTCACACTGAAAAAGCTTGCCTTCTTGACTATAAGGTAATAAAAAAACAGGTTCATGATTTGTAAAAAATCCAGAGGGAGTCGACAGCTTTACAACTGTTAGAGAATTCAGGGGAAATCATTGGTCCTATACATTAATCCCAGGGAGGAAATACATGTTATATATAATGAATTGAAAACTTATGCAACAAACAGCAACAAGTTATCATGAACATTACAAAAAAAGGAAACAAAGAAAAAAACTTATCCAAATAACCCATACTTTGCAATTCTGGGGTCACAGGCATATATATTGTCTACTAGTCTTCTCAGTCGAGCCATTTCTTCCTTGCGTCGACGCGCTCGCTCAACTTTGTTTTGTTTCTCTATCCACCTTCGTTCTTCTCGGCTGAAAGAGGGAGAGGTGTGAATATATACCTTGTTCATTAAAGCACCTTCGGAAAAAATTGCAATTGAAAAACATTTCTTCCTTTCTTAAAAAACAAAATGAAAAGAAAGAAAGAAAAATCTTCTGAAACATCACTTTTTAGTAAAATCTATGCTACAATCAACAGAGCCTTTTTTCTTTTCACAACCCTATACTGCAATACAGGCCATAACATTATGAACGAATTCTCGAATAAACAGTGTATATATACTTTTAACTAAACTTTTTAACTTTTTCATCTCATATTACCTATTCTATCCTATAGCTCCTTCCATTTAACTACTGTTTCGTGTGTGTATATATATAAATATATATATTTATATATATATATATATATATATATATATATATATATATATATATATATTATATATATATATATATATATATA